ATGACAGTATCTCATTACAATTCACCAATATTCCCCTTTTCATTGTAAAATATGTATAGGTTCCTTCCAAAAGGGATTGGTGATCTACTGCTACTAGATATGAAAGCCTGTTTAGAGAACGCCTCTTCTGTTTTTCTTAGAACCACTGGAACCACTGGAAAGTATGGACTCACTGGTTTACGAAGGTGGGGACTACGAGCAAGAAGACAAGGTGATATAGAATTGAACAAACATCTAGTGAGAGCTAAGTTATCTATTCGTGAGAAATGTAAGATTGACACTCATACGTCAACTTCTCATTTTGCAGACAATATGGTACGCCTCCATGACTCGATTCTGTAGCCTAACGTTTTACATCACAATTCTTCTTTCCGCGTTGTATCTGGCAGATGACGAAGTCTGTTCATCTGATGGGTGATAATTTCGACGTAACCCGGATTATACATGATTTCCTGTCTTTGTTAATATAACCATTCGTCTTAATCTTTACTCTCAGGACTTTAAGCCTATTTCCTCAGACTCAATTGTAGTTAACTCTTTCTTACACTTGCTGTCACACCACAGCACTCGAGAGCATTCCTTTCCTATCCTTCTTTCGGCCACTTTAGCATTACGTGCTGACACATAAAACTTCCACCAACAGTCTTTTGCCACCCGTTGATCTCTATCCAAATATGTTCACTGATGATGTCAATAAAATACACATATTAGCTCCCCTTATTATATAATTGCCAACCTGTTTAACGTTAGCGAATAACTAAGTCGAACTTTAAATACATATATTTAAAACAATCGTTGCTCCAGACAGACAAAGGAAACGAAGCAAAGAAGTACGTGGAAAGCAAATGCGTCAACTTGCTATACCAATCGCAAGCTCTAATACAGACGGAAATAAATTCTGCGTGGTGTGGCAAAGCGACAGGCATTAGATAAAAATACTAGGTGATAAACATGCACATATTGGCGTGGAGGACATTAAGGTAAGTACGTTAAAGTAAGACAAGTATTTCATGTAGAGATCGGAATTTCCTATTTAAACGACAGTTATTATGAATGCAAAAACGAACCAATAGTTACCGAATGTTTGAGTTATTAAGGTTTGTTCAAAAGCTAGGATGAATCATGCGAGTGTGCATCAGTACTAGACATTACAAGTCCTGAACAGAAGAGAAAGTTAAGGAAAAAGCTGAGTAGACAGAAAAACGCGAACGATTGTAGAGGAATATTAAAGTTGATAAGCATAAATGCGAAGACGATTTAACTACGGTGGCAGAAAAACTGTAAAAGAATGGAATGCGGAAAAACTATTTCATACAGTTAAGAAGCTTGCAACTAGTCATAACAAAGAGTGTTATATATTTTTACGCTCTCTGTCCTTATTCTCCCGAGCTGACCTATTTTTGTGTTTGTATTGTCATATACTAACTACTAACACTCAGTAAATAGTTATATTTCTATTAGTTTCTACGCGTACGTTGTAACGCAGATTTGTCATGTAATACTTTAAAATATTTACATACATTTATAACGTTTACTGTATTTACACTCTTAGGTTTCTCTAGCACAAAATAACGTGCTTAACAGCAAAACGAATGGACAATAAATAAGTCTTCGGTAACTCATTATCAATAAGAGGATATCTAACAAGGTGGTATAAAATATCTGCTTGTAAGAATTCGAATAACCGTTCACAGCAGACATTCACAGGTCAACAATCATCAAGTGAACCGATCCATATCCTGAAGTTCAGTTAAAATGACCTTACTGTCAACGGCCTGGGAAGATGAGACAGTAAAATTAAGTAGTAAAGGTAGATCCTTAACCAACGTTGGATAATAAAACTTAAGACAAAGAAGACTGAAGGATATAAAACGTGAACACAAGAGACCCGAGTAAAAGTTAAAATACAAGGCTGGGGAAAGAACAAAGAAATAACAATACTGTTCAATAAAACACTCTTGAGGGGTTTTCGGTATGTTATTTTCGTTACAGTAAGCACAGGAAAAGTTTTAAAAAGAGTATTCACTAAATGGAAGAAAGACTTACTAAATTCTCACACTAGAGATTTATTGTACTAAATATAAAATACTGAATAAAACCAGTACTACTACTAATAATAACAACAGAAGACAAGCTGGCTTTCTCAAATATCAATTATATATGAAGCAAATTACGAAATTTGGATCATTGTTGAATAATCATTTGGATTGACCTAGTTATTATACTTAAAGCCCTCTAGAAGTATTTGAGTGTGGATACGATAACCCTGTGGAATCTTTTTTGGTAGTACTGAGTACCAATGAAGATCTTCATCATAACACGAAACTCATATGAGGGACTGAACTTCAAGGTTATGGATGGAGAACAGCTCACAGATGTATCACAAGTAACGGCTAGTGTCAAACATGTCTGTTTAGTCTTTTCTTTCTTTCTTTTTGTTATTACTGATATGATCATAAATACCTACAGGAAAAGCCTAAAGAGTGATGGCAAACCTATTCATTGATAAATAAACTCAGAGTATGGTGTCAAGCTTGACAGGTATCGAAGACGTTCTTAAAATTAGTTTTACTCATTTCATTCGATTACGGACCAGTTAATGAAGATTTATAACTTTTAACAGAAAATAAAATGCCTCACAAAGGATATATTGTTCTCACAATCATAATGGACTCTCTCAAATTGGCTATATCTTCGTCTGTAGTGAATTTATTTTTGTTTGTATGGAATAAACTTAACTTTTACACCTAACCCCAACTCTATCCTATCGCTAATTTTAAACTTGGACCTCACCCCTGACCACTAACTTTAAAAATCAGTGTAAAAAAATCAATCCATATTGTTTCCATTAAACTTGTTTATATTCATATTATTTATGTGTTCTCAAGTCAGTACTTCTGGCAATATTTCAATACATAGTAAGAACTTGATAATGTATTCCTTATTATAATTAGTATTCTATATGACTTAATGTCAACCTACTGACTTATTTTATCATTAACGAATTTAAAGTCACTCAATTCAGGTAGATTCTCACAATAATTAAAGATAATTGTCATTAAGCAGTTATTCAGATTGTTTTGTGCTTCCAGGTTTTCAGTGGTTGTCTGACTTAGATCGATTCATGATTTCAATGAATATATTCATATATCTAAAGGTAGTACCTGTGAACTCGATTTCTACCACTATTTTTAAAAACTTCGTCGACTGTTGAGTAACATCCGTTGTTATTATTTGTTTTGAGTTTTCTGTTTCAAAGCACAAATGTTGAACATAAATAAGCTCCTTTGTTTTACTTACACGATTCATATGTCTCATTATTCCGGTTTCTAAGCTCTACTGTTTAAAAAATTCCTTGCTGGTTTGAACTTGCGGGTTTCCGTCCATTCTTTTATTTCCTGATCAAATACAAACTTGAAATTGGGATTAACTCGGTTTTTCTTATTTGAGTAATGAAAATTTATTCGGTAACATATTCTTAAGATGTGCGACGGATCTAAATATGCACACGAAATACATGGTAAATTCATGTAAACTGAGGTGGAAATACGAAGGAACAATTGTAATCTTCTTTTACGGTCATTGTATATATACCTTTATCTGGATAGTTCCTCTGAATGTAAACAAGCATTAGTTGTGAGTGTTTTATTCGTCTTCATGACAGTACAGATTCCTCATTATTCTGAATAGTTAGGTTAGTCAAGCAGTAAGAGCGTGGATAATAGTTGAATCCAATCAAATGCAAGGTCTAAATGTTAAACAAAGTCTAACAGACTTCTCTGTTGCAAGTCAACTCTTGTTCGCTATTAACAGGTTATACAGATTTATAAGGATATTGTTAATCAAACAGAAAAAGAAAAATGCTTCATAACATTAGTAGAGGATGATTAATTAACGCGAACAAAAAATGTGCATATGAAGAAATGAAAGGCGACGGGAAAAGTCCATCTGGATTTCAAGAAGAGTTCACTGTTCAGTGCATGGAAAAATACTTTTACAAATAATTTTTTGTTAATAAAAATACCTAACTACACCTGTCGAAATTTTCAGACATACTTTTCTATACTGTAAACTAAAGGTTTATATTTTGATACTGATAGACCTGATAAGTATAGGCATATTGTATGTCGGGAGCCTGACTGTTGCGAACGCCTTGACGGGGTGGAAAGGGTTGCCCATCGTGATGGACTGAACGAGCTATACTGGCTAGAAAAGCCGTTCCTCAAAGTCCTAGCATACCAGGCAGATCGGTTGAAGAGCGGTAAGACTGAAAGCAGCGAACCCAAGGTCCGAGGGCGAAGTCGTACTGCTGACTGTACAGTAATGTGTTTTCCTCAAACAACTAGCATAACAGCTATGCTGCCTTCCTACAAGGAGGGGTGGGGTTAGAAAAGGTCGACCCTAAAAATGTGCACCTCACCTTATCCCACGGATTTCCGTCTCCGGCTGTAAGGTCTCAACAAGTACAGAGCTAACACAAAAATAACCCACAAGAAGGTAATGTGTGACTGGCCTCAAGAAGTTGTCCCTTGGGCACTGCGGTCACGCTCTCAGGTCAATAAGACCAACTCTAGCACAATTTTCTTTCCAGGTACCACTAGAAGAACCCTTCCACGTTGTGGGCAACAGGGAAGTGGTAACCGCCCTCACATCTCAAATAGCACTTAATACCACTGTATTCATAATCGATTCCTCTCTTCAATTCATATTATTCCTCCTATCTCGAATATCAACTTCATAATTCCTCCTTCGACTTCCTCCTCACGTGTTACCATGGCCAACATTCTAGTGCGCGAAATACTCTCCCAGGCCTACTGAAACCTCACTCCAAACTACGCATTGGAGCCATCAATTTACGTATGTCTGGAAGATCAAACAGTTCCCACGTTCCAAGGCCATCAGTACTTATGAAGTGCAGACAATTCAAACCATTGGTGCAACAGATTTGATAATCTAGTCCAGGTTATCAACTACATAACTTCGGTAGAATTAGTAACATAGGAAGTAGTTTCGTATATATTATTCAGTTCGGCAAGTATAACCACTAATCCTTTCCAGTCTTTTCATTTTGAGTGACTCTTGATTAAGAGCATTTAGTAAGTGAATGAACGTATTTCAACTGAATCATATTTCCAGAACTAGAACAGATACTTAAATCTCTTTCGTTGTGATGACTTATCAGACTGGGTCTGAATAGCGTTTGAGTTTAATCTCTTCGATAAATCTGAATATCAAAATCGAAATACATGGTTCTTTATGAAAAATGCTGATAAACATTATGATATCACAATTATTCAATTTCTTTTTAAACCTTCACGTAAACTGTTGGCACTCGACCTACTTTTAGAAATAAAAAACAATTTGAAATATTCATAGTTATCTGTATACAAAAGTTAAATCTTAAAACATAGTGAATTATCTATGCAAGATATTCAGTTTGTCTTGTATACTTATTAGTTACTATCCATTTTTTTCTGATAAAACACTCCCTAATTTAAACAATGAATAGACTTACATCTATAAATTCTTTCTTATTTGTATACATATATAGTGATTGAGTAAAAGATTACTGATGATCATGGAATATCTAATACATAAATAAATATTAAATATGTTGAATTAGAATGTGAATGAAGTAAATACTTTCATCAACATATTGTTATCAGTTGTTGTTTTTGTTTATTTTAAATGAATATTCTCTTTTGGAGAAAGAAAAAATAGTTTTCTTGTCTCAAATTACCAGAGGGTACAGTGATTAAATGCATAAGAAGAATAAGGAGAAGGGGGAAAAAAAGAAGAAGAAGCAAAATTACATATATATGTATCCGTTATAGCAAAAAGGAATCAATTCACAACCATTTAAATGAATATCCATGTCATTGTTATCACCTGACATGAATTTATTCAATATAACAATAAAATGATTAATTAAATGATCAAAAGAAGTTTTCATCAAAGTTCATATTTGTAGTTATAAGTCAATTTAGTAATGATAAATACGTTTTGCATGATTTAAGAAATTGTTTACATGGTAACAAAGTAAAATACCCAATACCTTGTTTTATAAATTTTCCTTTTTTAAATGGTAAAAAGGCGGGGTTTTTTTAAAGAAGAGATAAAGAAACATTCTGAAAAAGTGATTTTAACTAAGTAACTTTATATAAGAAAAGGCTAGAGAAGTAATGTCTTTTTTAAGAAAAAAAAAGAGAATTCGAAATAACATTCACAACCAACTTGTGGCTTGTCCTTTTTGTTGTTGTTATTGTTAGTAGTCATAAAATCATAGATCGTATGACGATTGATTCTTGTTGAAGTTAATCAATTATATCTGCACTGTTATTGAATCCAAGATAATGAATTATGATGTTTGTTGTTATTATTGTCGCTGGAACTGATTTGGTTTTTGTTCATTTTGTAAATAGTAATCATGAGTTACTTCAGTTGTTTGGAATACATTACCTTGTTTTAAACAAAAGTACAATAAAATGTAATTTTCCAAGTGTTCTTTTTTTTTAAATATAGGAAAGTAATAAAAAATTGATTTGTTACTTATGGACAAAATGTTTTACCTCATATGTTTGCATTAAACTAATTATTTATAACTCTAATCAGAATGGGTTTTGTGGAGATTTCAGTAGTTAAAATCATGAGTCAATTGAAACTAGACAACCATGGAAAACCTGGAAGCACTGGACGGCCGTTAAGTCCTATTGTGGGACTACTCAGCAGTACGGATCCACGATTCCGCCTCGCGAGATTCAAACCCAGGACCTACTAGTCTTGCGCCAGAGCACTTAATCGACAGACCACTGAGCCGGCATCCAACAGTATTAATGTTTAACTTCAACCAATCCATGAGGTTTGAACAGCCGTTCACCGATTGTCTTCAGTGAGTTGTTATCTCACAACAGACGTGGTTGAACTACACTGGTCACTGCTTCTCACTAGAACTCTAGGACATGTATCTTGAAGCGCTCTGGTGCGAGACTGGTAGGTCTTGGGTTCGAATCTCGCTAGGTGGGATCGTGGATGCGCACTGCTTGGGAGTCCCATAGTAGGATGAAACGGCCGTCCAGTGCTTCCAGGTTTTCCATGGTTGTCTAGTTTCAATTGACTCATGATTTCAACTATGATTATAACTATAACTTTAATTCACTGAACTCAACTATCTCTACTCTGATTTTACTCAATCCGTTAACTAGAGTGGAAAGTACAGTGTATGTTTAAGGTTTCGTGATAGAGACTACTGAAGAACTAGTTTGTTACGTAAGAAGATTGTATGCTTAAACACAAAATAGTAACATGAAAGAAATATGATTAAATTTCATATGGGATTGAATGAAATCAGTTTGTGTCACTAATTTTCCAATCAATTAGAACTTGAATGTTAGGGCTAATTCTTAGGGATCGTATCACTTCACCAATCATAACATTGATTTCTCATTTATGTCACGAAGTAACACTAAAGAGATAGCCACCGAAAAAATATATTTTAAAGTTTTGTTGTCTTAGTAACAAGTTTTCAAGTAGTTTCCAATCATGACCTGATTAAGAATTGGAAATGACAGCAATAATTTGATGAGAAGTTTATTGTAATGATCATGTTTCTAGCAAAACTTCTAGTGAACGTTCATTGGATAACATGCTTCCTAATAATTACAGAGTCTTTCTTGTCTATTGCGAGAAATTTTCTGGATCACCCCAACTAGTTATTTTATTCTATCATTAGACAGGTAATACTGACTTAAGTTAGAAAAAATAATTCATATTACACATAATGTGGTGTGGTCTACTTATATCCATATAAGTAGCATATGGTGTGGGTCAGACATAGAATGTATTTTGGCAGAAGACCGATGAGGAAATAACTGAAATGAAGCGCAATCGTTTGGAAAATGCATGAGCAATGGAATAAGAGAAGAAACAGTGAAGATTGAAACAATTGGTTGTTAATTTGCAAATTGACTGTTCATTGTTTGGTTATCAGAATTAACTGAGATAGTCTGTAATCTTTGCTTAAATACATTCGACTGTCCCCAGTCGTGTTCTGTTCACTACAATAGGAGTAAATCACTATTGAAAGCTCGATGTATTTGTGAATCTTTTACTAATAAGGTTTATTATCGGGGTATCAAAATGGTTAAAAATATAACTGTATAAATTGATGAATTGTCCAGAATCATACTTTTAATCTTGATTTTGTGTGGGTAAATCGTAATAGTAATTTGATTTTCGACACATGAATTTGTTTAAAGTGTGTGCGTGTGTGTGTGACAGGAAGAGAGAGAGAGACAGAGACAACAATACTTACCAAATTGTCCTGTATTTGAACTACGTCCATCTGATGGAATTTGTCCATACATTTTATCATCTTCATTTGATTCTTCACTGGCCGCTGGAATCGGCATTAAATAGTTCAATAAAAGAAATCCTAATAGAACTAAAGCTGATGCTGCTCCATACGCTCTAAACATTGTTGGAGTTCCTGATAGATATAGTTAATTAAAAGAAAAAAATTCTTTAGAGGTTAAGTGTTTTAAGTAGTGGGATTAAAATCCATAGTGAACATTTACAAAATATACTCAAGTTATATATTGATATACATTTATTTTAATCTCACCAGGAAGTTCATATTGATTTATTATCTTTCCAAAAAGTCTCTTGTTACTAACGTTAGAATCTTTCTCTAGGTAAGTCGGTACAATATTAACTAATCAGAGAACAAGTATTAGATATTCAATAATCATTTGTACTTATCCCACCAATCAGCGGTATGAGAGTACAAGCTGAACAATGAGAAATAAATTTACTGTAGCCTAGATCTGAATTATATCTTAGTCAAGGATATTCGCCGGTTTTTAATGTTAAATGATTATAAACAATCAGCAGGAACTTCAGGAGATGAAATTCTAGTTATTTGGCTCTAATCAGCAAGACATATTTACAGTCTTGATGAGATGAACGCTACTGGAGAAATTAAGACATAGAAATAATGTTTAATGAAAGGTTTTATTTTATTTGAAGTAGGAGATGCTTATATCAAAAAGGACAATGAAAACTTCTCAATTGAACCATTTAATTTAAATAATACAATATTATCAAATAAAGAGGATAACATTTCCAAAAAATCTCAATTATTATTTACCATAACTAGATATAACAAGTCCACCAAATATGGCACCTAAACCACGTCCCAAACCATAATGTATTGCACGAAGAAATCCTAATGTTGATGAACGAAACTCCGGCTGGAATGCTTGCATAATATATGAACAACAGGCTACCCATACACCAGCATGTGTAAGACCTGAAAAAGGTTACAGAGGAAGAACACAATATCATTGGGAATCTGATAGAATCATTATATATTATTCAAATCAATATAATACTTATTATTATAAGTAACTAACTAAATCTTCTTAAGCTTAGAGACCTTTAGGAAGTTTACTTGATTTACTCTACTTCATGTCCATTGGAATTTTTTTGTGTTTTTCAATTTCTTTCTTGTTATTTATTAAAATGGGTTTCCACCATAAGTTATTATCCGTAAAACCGGTTTGAAAATTCTTCTTTATTCTAATCTGTGGAAAAGCACGTTTAGCTAGAAGTATAAATACATTGTCTGTCTACATTTGTTGATCATTGAGTGATAATGATTACCATGTTTGTCTAGTGCTTAGTTCTGATCGGTTTCTATCTTTTAAATCCCAAAGTAAACATTAGTCTAAGTGACCTGAAATCATGAGCACTATGTTATGATGCTAGTTGGTTTTCAGTAGATGGTAGAAGACACAGAACGTAGGTTTTGTGCTGGTTGTTATATGTCAACAAGGTGTATCTGATATCCCGAAGGAGCTGACGTTTTGTATGAGATTCATAAAACTGAATGTCATAGCTTAAACCAATTATCAAGAGTCTGTTGATTTTCTATGATTCTCCCTTAAAACAGTTGTTATTCTGTTTCAAGTTTCACTATTTTTGAAGATTTTACTAAACAACTGATGGGTAAATTTATTTGACCTATCAAACAGTTATTAATCGACAACTAAACAATACAGGTTATGTTGACTTTTGCATAATTCTGTTGTATAGATGAGTATTGAAAATTATGAATAATGTATGGTGAGATATAAATCATCAACAATAATTCAAGCTATGATAACATTCTTAAATAAGATGATTCTCTGAGAATTTCCTTATATCATTAATGTAAGGAACCTTTAGCTTGAAAATTGCAACTTCTATTCTATGTGATGTTATGTGTGCACTCTTCCTAAACAAAGATGAAACTGTTACCTAGAGTCTACTTGTTTTCAATGATTTTTCAGTTAACATTAGCATTGGTGAAAAAACGAAAATTATCATACACTACAGGGTAGTAGCTCTTAAAAACTTTGATACCCTTTGAGTAGTTCACAGAGCATTTAGTTGCCTAAAGTTTTACGTACTTCACTGAATTATTATCTTGTATCTATCATTCTTTCAGTTTTCTCATTTACTTTAAGGATAAACCCACTGAAACACTTGAAAATCTTCACAAACTCAGTATCAACTACCTGCCAGCTGAATATCGATTATCACATCTATTTGTTAACGAGTAGAACTCGCTGCCTTAATATTTGTTTTAAAGTTCCATCGAAGACAATTTTCGATTAAGTTGGAGATATCCCCTACTATGTCTAATACAAGCCTATGTTTGCACTGAAATAATCACTATTCTATCATGACGTCACTCTCAGTTTAATGCTTTCCATACCTTGTATTACTGTGAAACAATTTGAAAATAAGACGTTGGCGGCGAGACTATAACTTCTGGAAGAACCAATCAGGTTTAAGATAACTGGTCTTGGATTTTGGAGCGAAATTCATTCGTCCAAATGGCTAAATAGTATTTCAGATTCATAGCTAATTTCATTTTATGATGAAACCCCTAGCTGCAATTCCTAAACGTAACGCTAAACAGTAAATCTTAATCCTGATTCTTCACACTAATTTGTAACCGTCATTAGAATTTAGTAAGTAGATGGACATCTCAAGGTCATCCATAAATTTTATTTCCGCCTTATTGACCTTTATGTTCACTGAATAAGTTCAAATACTCTTAACCTATATATTATCTTGAGTGTATAAAAATAAAGTTCTTGAAATTAACATTCTTTTATAAAAAAATAGTAATATACAATGTTGAATCACCTTGTATAAATTCAAAAGGAAGTATCCACCATGGATTTGTGATCCAAGAGACATAGAGAAATCTTGCTACATTACCAACTAATCCCAAATACAGAACTTTTATATGACCTAAAGATTTAGAAAAAGAAATTCGCGAGACTATAATTTATGGACGAGCCAATCAGAAGCGTTTGAGGGATTTCAATACCTGATGCCCATGTACGATCAATTGACAAAGGATTTTAGAAAAGACGTGATAATTAAGAGGCTACAATAAATGGGAAAACTGAAAAGTTCCTTTATTTGTAATTGCAGTAATCAAATGGCTTGTAGACCTTGTGAAAACTATCGTGATGTTGTCCTTCGATGTAATATATGTTGGAAGATCTCTGCTAGAATAGGAACCTTTTTCTCTCGAACCAGATTGAGACTAAGACAAATTATAATAATTACCGCAAACTGTATAATAAAAGCACTAGTAAAATTGGCTACAATATTCGCATATGTTACTGTAACAGCTTCGGCTGTTCAGTGGTGTGAGTATTGTAGGGATATATGCGTAATAAAAATGACAAGCTTATACAACTGGAGTACACACGAACAATAATGAAGCTATGTGTTCGAGGCTGAGGGAGATTAGCGACCTTATCATGGCACCAGAGACCGAGTATTATGGAGCCAAATAGATGAGTTCCTCTACAATATACATTACGGTTTTAGAACCTTTGAACCTCTTTCTAACCATGACAAGTTTTTGGACCATTTAAAAGAAGTGTATCCTTCTTAATTCTTTGGTTTTGTATAATTTATTTTTACTTCATACTGACTGTTTCCTGATTGGCTAATATTTCTCAAGGTAACTTGAAATTCGTTCATAGGTCGTCCATAAGCTATAGTCTCGCCAAAAAATTAACTGTCATATTATAATTACTTAATATAGACGTAAACATGAATATAGCTTTTGTTAGAAACATCAATTAAAATGGTTCAACTCTGCAAATGAAAATGTTTTAACTTCTAAACACTGTATATCCATATTTCCACAAAGTATTGAATCTCGGTTTGCATCATGAGCTTAAAACCATCCAGTTAGATTATTTAAATCAAGTCGTTCATATCTTTCAGCTTTAGTCCATTAGTATAATCGTTTTATTATCATAACGGCTTCTTTCCTAGAACTTCAGAGTATTCATCTGAAAGATTTAAATTAATTCGTAATGGGATTCCTGTTTTGTTAGGGAGGCTTAATTATCAAAAGAGCTTAGTTTCAAAACATAATGAAGTATTTTCAGTGATCTATGATTTTCCATTATATCTGTTAAGAATAAAAAATCTAATTTAACAATTTTATCAAAGATGGAATTTAGTAGGATTCTGGTATTATCATAAAGATGAATATAGAGATTATAGGATTTAGATAGTTTGCCGATTTTTGTGTGATCTATGATATGATTTGTTTGATAGTAATCGTCTTATGAAGTAATAAGTATTGGTAAGCTTTTTTTCCATTTCCAATGGTACAAATCAATTCAATCCTTTTATTCTAACCATTTGATAAGAATCAATGCTTAATTGATTTATGACAACCAAAATATTTGAATATTTAAATTCACTTGGTATTGTTTGTTTGAATCTTCCCATTGATATCTAGAACTGCAATTGATCAGTCTCTTATTTGCATGTGTGCATACTGCTCGTATTGTTTCGATATAGCCTTAATTCACAAGCAATGAAAACAAAGATGGTTAGTGACTAGCAGTGCTATCAAGGACGCGCGTTTCATCCTATTCGGGACTCGTCAGCTGGATGTACATGCATCTCAGAGTTGATGTTCACTCTTGGAGTCGAACCCAGTACCTTTCGCTTCGAACATCATTGCGTTATCCACTCAGCTACTGAGTCTTGATAGCCATTTGTTTGTGCAATGGGGTGAAGTTTAAATATTTGAATATTTGTTTAAGTTAATGAAAGTAGACTTTATTGTTTCGACTTGAAACCTTTAATTTATAAATCCGAGATACAAAAAGATGGTTAGATAGACAGGTGATTATACATAACCAACACTATTGAGATATCAGTTAATGGATTGTAATTAAATGAGATACAAACTCAGTTGTAATAATCACATTCTATCCCAAGAGTTAGTTTAAACTAAGACTGTAGGTGGGTTTATGCAATACAACACCATAGTGTACTTGTTGTTTTCAACTGTAATATTCATGAATAATTCAGAAGTTATGCGATACTATCTGTTCAACCTTTTCAAGACATAATGAGAAAGTGATTTTTTTGTCGTTGTTGTTGTTGTTGGGATAATTGATACCATTTTATTATTTAAGGAAAATCATATACAACTATGAACAACACTAATTTTTAATTAATGAATAATTCACTTTCAAATATAGAAAATAAAATTCATTTCAGTCAATTGTTTTTATCTACTTAAAACTTAATTTATTCTAAGCTTCATTTATTAATATACAGGTAAATAATCGGTTGAAGTTAGACATCCACACAGTTAGATGCCGGCTCCTTAGTCTAGAGGTTAAGTGCTGATAGGCCTTGGGTTCGAATCTCGTGAGGCAGGATCGTAGATGCGCTCTTCTGAGGAGTCCCACTGTGGGAGGAAAAGGCCTTCCAGTGCTCCGCGGTTTTTTATGGTGGTCTAGCTTCAATTGACTCATGATCTCAACTATTGAAATAATTATTAGTTAAGATCTTTTTTACAAATTAAAACTTGAACAATATATACAGTTTAATAACATTCAACAAGAATTAATCTCAAATACTAACCAATTTTATCAATAATTTGTTTACTAAACTGATACATCAATATCTCGGATACATGATTGATAATTGATGCAATACCAAATAATGTTGGTGAACCATTTAATTCTTGCATATGCCAAAATAAAAATGTGAATACTTGACCTAAACCCAAACCCATAAACCATATAACGAATAAGAATGCCAATAGACTTGGTTGACGAAATTGTTTCAATGCATGAAACCAACTTGTTACCTGGTATTAATTATATACACAAAAATTAACATTCATTTTCATAAAAAAAAACAAACAAGAATATATATACATATACATTTATGAAAATTTAGAGGGATTCTGAATACTAAAGATTATTCGATTGGTTGAAAATCATGATCATTCGTTCTGAAGATCAGGAACTACCTTCTTCTTATTCTTTTTAGTAATGTAGAATAGATTCTTTGAATCATAATTATAATTAAATCCAACATTTCCTAACATAGTAATTATTGATCAAATGCTAGTGAGAATATGGATGAGTTGTACTGTAGTGAACAAGAACAATGGTGGGGACAATTGGATGTATTTTTGCACAACCTTACAGAATATTAATACATGAGAACTATATAGTGAACAGTTAATTTGCGAAATAACAATCAGTTATCTCAATTTGATTATTTCTTCTGTAAATATACATCTATAGTCTCCAATTATAATTGTTCATACATTTTTGTACCAATTGCGTGTCGTTCCCTATCTCTCTTTATCGATCTTCTACTGAAATACATTCAATGCTCGACCATCACTATATACTACTTATGTGGATTTAAGTAACCCACACCACAGTACGATTACTGATATAGCTTTCCATTTTTATCGTGGAAAATACAGACTATTCAAACTCATCAACACATTTGGAATATTTTTAGTTTATATTCTGGCGTGACTGAAGAGTTTTGTAACTTTCATGTTCATCCTTGATTAGTGGTTTTTTAATAAACAAGTAAAACGTGACTATACTATTCGGTATTTGGATTGTATTTATTGGTTGACTAGCGATTCTGGTTTTATGTTGAATTACATACAGTTGACAATTGTAGATCAGCTTTGGGATCGAATTAGTTAGTTTGACTAACATACATGATAAACTTATATGCGTTACAGCAAAATGAATCGTTGTCAGATCTAATGGATGTTATCAACCGCACAAGGATTCATTCCATATGAAAAAAGGTTACTGAAGATGTATGATGCTTTAACAACAATGACAAAAGTATGCAAAAGTATGCTAGAAATAGGATTTAAATATGGCAATAACAGGTTATGAACGCTTCCGAGTACCAAAAAGTCTAATTAGTGAATAGTATTTATCTAATATCGACATGCGTATAATGAAATGAAATTCAAAATAGATTATAAGAGTATTGTGATGTGTGCTACTGATATCTTCAGATAGAAGTAATATGCATCACTGATCAAAAGTGAAATATCTGGTAGCAGAATGTTAATAAGATCAAAGAAAAGAGAACGAGAACAGAGAACGATTGGTATGGAAACGAAGGAACTGTGAAGTCTGAGATAATTGATGAATATTTTGCAAATGTAGCATTTACTGTATGGTTTTGATTCTACTAAGACGTTCTGTAATTTTGTGATTTAATACATTTGATTGTTGCCGCTGGTGTTATTGTTCATTGCAGTACTAGTGTTTGCTTCTTCTGCAGAAATTGATATCAACTCATTTGAGAAGTTTGTATCTCACAACTTTTTCTTAAGAAACTTGTTGCACCAGTTACCTACTTCTAATAATTTTATAGAATTTTTTAGATGAATTCATTTACATTTCCAACACATTTTGTAGTTATCAGTATAGGGTTGTGGAGATAACTAAATTTTTGATTGACATCATGAACCAATTGATGTTAGACTACCACTGTAAACCTAGAAGCATTGGACGGCCGTTTCGTCTTATTGTAGGGCTCTTCAGCAGTGCACATCCATGAACCTTCGGTTTCGCGCGCGAACGCTTAATCTCTAAACCACTGAGCTATCATCCAAAGGTTTTAATGTCTAACCTTAATTAATCCACGAAATTGCGTGACTATGATAGGACGAAACGACCGTTCAGTGCCTCCAGGTTTTCAATGGTGATCTAACACCAAACGATCCATCATCTCAATCAAAAAACATTTAGCAGTGTTTTTCTTGAAGAAAACAAAACCTATTTTTTCATTATAATTGTAAGAAGTTGATTTTAATTTCCAGCATAATTCATAAATCTCGTTCAATGAATTCAAACAATTTCTCTCAAAGTTCAGCATATAATCTGGTCTCATTTTAAATCTTTTTGGGTTGAAAGATAATTCATTATATTTATTGATGATGATTAGTGTAAAAGTAGATAGAAACAAAAATGGTTTTCTAAATTAAATGGTTACAATAGAAATAATAAACCTTGATTCACTTAATATTGTTTGTTTGAATCTTCTCATTGATGTTTAGAACTGCAACTGGTCAGTCTCTAATTGGCATATGTGCATACTGTGAGTATTGCCTCAATACAGCCTTAATTCGCAAGCATTATAAGCAAATATAGTTAGTTGCTAGCAGTGGAATCCAGGATGCGCGTTTCATCCCATTTGGGACTCGTCAGCTGGATGTACATGCATCTCAGAGATGATGTTCATTCTGGGACTCGAACCCAGTACTTTCCGCTTCAAACGCCATCGCGTTATCCACTCAGCTACTGAGTCTTGATGGTCAATTGCTTGTGCAATGAGGTGGAGTTTAAATTCATTTAGTGTTGTTTGTTTGACGAGTCCCGAATAGAACGAAATGCGCGCCCTGGATTCCTCCGCTAGCCACTATTTATTGTTGCTTACAATAAACCTTGATGTTCACTGAATCGGATAAAATGTTTGAATCAATGACTTTTAATAGTAATTTATTGGGAAAAGATCTCTATTAACCAGTCATTGTTAAAATGGGAATTTTTTGGACATTTGAAGTAAAATTTTATCACGAACGAATAATCAGCTCAAGGATAATTAAAAATTCAAGAAAGCAAAATAAATGATTTTTCCTATAAAAAGTGTCTTTAATAGTAAACATCCATATACTGATTATGAATCGAGCCAAGGACATTCCTTTCTCGTAATAGAAGTGGTAAGTACTAAAAATGTTTTTCTCTTACAGAAAATGCATTTTGTTAGTAAGTCATTATTATCAAAGAATTAATCAAATCGATAATCTCAAATATGTTCATTGTTACATGGATAGTAGACAATTTTTTTAAATGGCATAATTTTTCCATTAATATTAAAGTATTTCATTCAACTGTTACCATCTAATTAAGTTTGTGTGGTATCTAAAGATTATAGTAACTCACCCACTGTATTTAACAAGAACACAAGTGGGGATAATCGAATGTATTTAGGCACAGATTACAGACTATCTCACTAAATTCTGATAACCATACAGTAAACAGTTAATTTGCAAAGTAACAATCAATTGTCACAATCTTAACCGTTCCTTTTGCAAATATCAGTCCGTCTTCTCTGATTTCACTGTTCATGCATTTTCATACCTGTTCTTTCTTTATTGATCTTCTGCCTAAATACATTCTATGTCTGACCATCACCACATACTACTTATGTGGATATAAGTAGACCACACCATACCACAATCAATTTTAATAAATTTGTCAAACCCTTTTATTAACTTATTTAACAGACAGTGTTATTTGGACAGTAACATTTAGTCTATTTCTTTGTATTATTACGATCACTATCATGTCTGTATAAACCTGTATTCTTGGTCACGTGTGACAGCCTGCTTACATATCTCTCTCTGGCTTAAATGTTAATAGCTCAAATATCGCCCGATGAATCATTTTCTTCTCCATGTAAATATGTGCTCGAATCGTATTAATTTCCTTTGCTTTGCTCGATTTGACTATAAATTCGAGTCTGTATCCGCTTGCACACACATATGGGGCTCTCTACTCCAAATGTGCTTGTAACTTTATTATCTGTACTATCCGCTAATAAACTGTGGTCACCGATTCTTATTGCCTTCTGAATTCAAAAACCGTTTGGGATTTATATAATAACGATTATCAAGGTGATTGTTCAACGAAGCTAAGCCACTACACATGGCAAGTTAGTGATAACTTCTGTGACGTCTAATAATAGAATGGAAAATCCGATTTATTGTTCTCTAGTAGTTTAATTATTCACCAACTAATCTTAAACAACTCCATACATGCTATAGTCTTAATTACTATTAGTTTACTTACTTTTAATTGAGCTGCAGCAGCTAATTCTTCTTGTTGTGCATCTATTGTACTTTGACTTTTTAACTTAACTCCATCATTGTTTTTTTGAACAATTTTGATTCCAAGTTGTTGTTCTAAGATTTCTTCATTACTATGTTTAGATTTTTCTTTGCTAACAACTTTTCCTGTTTCTATTTCATGGATTAATGGATCAGGTTTCCAATCTTTTGCACCAACATCTTCATCATCATCTTCATTGACTAACTTCGAACGACTTTTTGTTGTTCTACCGAAAAATGTTCTAGCCATTTTATCTTTTACTAATTTGAAATACATACTCTCTGAATCACCTTCATATTGAAAAGTGAATTGTGTTGCAATGAATAAAGCGAATGCAATAAAAACTGAATATGTTGCAAAGTTTACCATGTAATTTTTTTCACGATAACCAGGATGTAAACATGGATAGTCAGGAAAACTTGTAGAATGATCTAATATTAAACCAATGAAAAACATTGATAATGCCCAACCAATTGAACCAAATATACGTTGTTTTTCATAATTATTACAAAAATCTATTCCACTTTGTTGTAAAACTGCTGCATCAACAATTGGTATAGCAGCACAAGACATAAGTTCACTAAAAAGTACCAACAATAGGATTACAATGAATATTTGATTGATTTTTGTTTGACCATAAACAACTGTAGAATAAAGAGGCATAACAAGACTTCCAGGTGGAAATTGGGTAGGATCATGATAGGCTTGTGTTCTTGCATAAAGATTTTGATCACCAGTCTGTTGTCCAACACCTGTACCCCAACGTGTCGCTTTCATTTTTGGTGGAGATACTAGTAGTTTAGTGTTTAGATAAAGTGGTGATTGTCCTAATTGATTACGAATTTTCAAGGCTAAATCTCTATCCATATCAACAGATTTAACATCATCATATCTTGATGCTTTATAAGGTTGAATAATACTCAAAATTAAACCTTCTTCATCATCACTTGTTGTAGCATTATATCTTGTTGATCTTGGTAGACTTACTAAACAACCTTCTGGTGTTGGACGTACAAATCCTAAGCCAAGTGTGAATGCCATAGCGAAGAATAAACTAACTAAAACAAACATTTTGCCTTTCTTCCATTTATCAGCTAATGCAGTCCAAAATGGTGCAGCAAAACACTCGACTAATGATCTTGTCCCACTTAGAATACCACATTGTAAAGCATTCAATCCAAGTTGTTTAAAATAGATTGATATAAGCGGGAAAAGTGAACCAAACGCAGCATAGTAAGAGAAATAAAATAGTTGATATATTAACAAAGATCTATCGAAGAATGATCGAAACCATTCCATAAAATTCTTTCTTGATGTAAATATTGATGAAACACTTTGATCTTCTTGTTCTTTAGCATATTGTGTATCAATTGTAGTGAATTCATTCTTATTCATTTTTTTCTATAATGAACAAAAGTATCAAAAGTAACTTAATTTAAGCAATTATCATTATGACTACTGACAAAGTTACTATTAGGGACAGTAAATTCGGGGCATTGAAATCATTATAAATAACAGAATAACATTACAGACGATATGAGTTAGGGGTTAGTAATAGTGATAATATTTATAATAAAAGTCACTTAAGTCATTTTACAGTTATTATTAGTTGAAAGCGTGAGTCTATTGAAGCTAGACTACCAGGAAAAACCCGGAAGCAATGGACGGCCGTTTCATCCTATTGTGGCACTCCTCAGCAGTGCGCATCCACAATCCCGCCTCGAACCCAAGACCTACCAGTCTCGCGCTAGAGCAATTAATCGAAAGACCACTGAGTCGGCATTTGATGGTGTGAATGTCTAACTTCAACCAATCCACGAAGTTGAGCAACCGTTCACCGATTGTCTTTTGTGAGTTCATATCTCACTACAAACGTGGTTTGAAATCCACTGGTCACTGCTTCTCACTAGAACTCCTGAATTTACCTCTCGAAGTCACTCACTAGTGCTTCCAGGTTTTCCTTGGTGGTCTAGCTTCAAATGACTCACGCTTTCAACTATGAAAATAAAAAATCTCTACAAAAACCCCTTCTGATAATATTTATTATTAGATTAATCGAAATTATGTGTGATTTCTGAACAATATCCTCTATGCCTCATCGTTTTTTTTTGCTTTACAGTCACCGATACAGGTAACAATTCTACTACATTGGTATTCATATTGACGATTCCGACTACTTATGATGAGATATTCTGACTCGATGTACATATGTTCCCAGTTCTATGTTGGTTATTATTGACTTGGTAGTTAAGCTAAAGAATGTTGGATAAAGTCGCTGTGGGTTTGATTAATAGTTTAGTCTTGTGCAATTATCATCATAGGACGAGTTAAACTTATATGACTACATATAAGCAACTGGAATTGAGGAAATAGGTTTTACGTACTCTAGAAATTGTAAATTCTGATGAGGAATTACAGAAAATGATAACCGGTCCTTTATATAATACTATAAATGCAACTTTGAAAACTCTTTTTTTTTACTGGCAACCACCTTTCGATGGTATGATTATTATTAGAGGTCCATGTTTAAACCGTTGTCTGTTAGGAGATTAACATTATACCATTAATTATTAGCTAATGAATGTTTCTTCTTATGAAAAGAAATCGAACTAAATATTTCTCCGTTTCAGATACTTCTCTTAAGATCAAATTATGAAATACTTAGACTTAAAGTGGAAAGTAAGAAATACGGACGTGGAACTTTAGGTTACAAAGGTAGTAATAAAGTTAATGTACTTGCATATAAGTAAATTTGCAACAGAATGTATGACTGAGCAAATATAAAAATATCAATCTTAATTATTAACACTTACATTGAATTTCTTCGACTAAAACTGTAGTTTCATTCAATAATTTTGGTTAATAAAAATTACATAAATGTAAATTTACAAATCAACTCACTATTTATCAGTTCACAAATGACCTTATTTATTGATTCGTTAGATACTTAAAATTTATAAGAGGAAAGAATTTTTTCTTGGGAAAAATTTTTCTACTCATTCTATAAATTCTGATTGGTTAAAGTGTGTTACTTTCAAAAAAAATTTTTTTTGTCTTATAAGACCTCACATTCTTTTCTGTCTATATATATATAATCCATATTATATATTCCAACAAAGTTTTTTATATTTATATTACCTATTCGTATTATAAATAAATAGAAAGGAATAAATGAAACATCAAAATAATGGAAAGATCGAGAAACAGACAACATATAGATAAGTGAGAGTATTTTTCATAGTTGAAAGCGTGAGTGAAGTGAAGCTAGATCACCAAACAAAACCTGGAAGCACTGGACAGTCAACACATCTTATTGTGGGACTCCTCAGCAGTGCGCATCCACGACTTCGCCTCGCGAGATTCGAACTCAGGACCTACCAGTCTCGCTCCAGAGCGCTTAACCGATAGACCACTGAGCCGGCATCCAACTGTGTTAATGTCTAAGTTCGGTTCATGCATTTTCATAACAATTGCGTGTCGTTCCTCTTCTCTACTTATCAATCTTCTACTGAAATACATTCAATGCCCAACCATCACCATATACTACTTATGTGGATATCAGTAACCCACATTACAGTATTATTCCTCCTTCTTATTAACTTTCATTTAACGACCAGATTTCCTTAATAATTTATCCTCTAAATATTACATTTGAATTGGCTTACATACATATCAAACTTTAGTTAAGGGATTTTAAAAAAAGGTCAATTGATGATAATATCATCAGGTCCTAGAATCATTATTATTATTACACTTGCTAACCTTTTAGAGAAATTTATTCAGCATCCACTCCTATCCACTATATCTGACCTAATTCATATTATTCTATATATTACATAATTTCCGATTGGTAATCCCGTTAGTCTCTCTCTTACTCCATATCAACTATATTTATTCTGATCATATATCTTACGATTTTATTTCACTTATAAACTGATTCAAGTCAACACTTCATATTAGTCAGCCTCAACATTAACGATTTGATTTGATCTGACAGGACAAACACTCCTTGACTAACATGTTACAGTTTCTTAAATGATGTACTCTGACTTAAACTTGGTCAACTATTCGCTTGTGGATTATCAATTAAGATTTATAATTGTAGAACCCTTACTTACTTACTTTCGCCTGTTACTCCCAATGGAGCATAGGCCGCCGACCAGCATTCTCCAACCCACTCTGTCCTGGGCCTTCTTTTCTAGTTCTATCCAGTTCTTGTTCATTCTTCTTATGTCTGTCTCAATTTCTCGGCGTAATGTGTTCTTTGGTCTTCCTCTTCTCCTTTGACCTTCAGGATTCCATGTGAGGGCTTGTCTTGTGACGCAATTGGGTGATTTCCTCAAAGTGTTCCCAATCCACTTCCAGCGCTTCTTCCTGATTTCTTCCTCCGCTGGAATCTGATTTGTTGTCTCCCACAGTAACTTGTTGCTGATAGTGTCTGGCCATCGGATCCGAAGTATCTTGCGTAGACAGCTGTTAATAAACACTTGTATCTTCTGGATAATGGCTTTCGTAATTCTCCACGTCTCCGCCCCATACAACAGAACTGTCTTGACATTTGTATTGAAAATTCTAACCTTGTGTTGGTTGACAATTGTTTTGAGCTCCAGATGTTTTTCAGTTGTAAGTATGCTGCTCTTGCTTTGTCGATCCGCGCCTTCACATCTGCATCTGATCCACCGTGTTCATCAATGATGCTGCCCAGATATGTAAAGATTTCCACACCCTCCAAAGCTTCTCCGTCAAGCGTAATTTGATTGGTGCATATTGTATTGTATCAGAGAGTCTTGCTTTTCCCTTTGTTTATATTGAGACCTACTGTTGCTGAGGCTGCTGCTACACTGGTCGTTTTCTTCTGCATATGTTGTTGCGTGTGTGATAGAAGAGCAAAATCATCTGCGAAGTCTGAGTCGTCCAGCTGCATCCTGCCTGTCCACTGTATCCCGTGATTTCCTCCAGATGTTGACGTCCTCATGATCCAGTCGATCACCAGGAGAAAGAGGAAGGGTGAGAGTAAGCAACCTTGCCTAACACCGGTCTTTACCTCGAACGAGTCAGTGAGTTGTCCTCCGTGGACGATTTGGCAGTTTAGTCCATTATAGGAGTTCCGTATGATGTTGACTATCTTCTCAGGCACGCCGTAGTGTCGAAGAAGCTCCCATAGTGTCATCCTGTCCACGCTATCAAATGCCTTCTCGTAGTCGATTAAGTTGATATAGAGTGATGAATTCCATTCTATCGATTGTTCCACAATGATACGTAGAGTCGCGATTTGGTCTGTACACGATCTATCCTTACGAAATCCAGCTTGTTGATCTCGAAATTGGGCGTCCACTGAGTCCTTCATCCTGTTTAACAATACTCTGTTGAATAATTTTCCTGGTATTGAGAGAAGTGTGGTGCCCCTGTAGTTATCGCACTTGCTGAGATCGCCTTTCTTTGGTATCTTGATCAGAATTCTTTTTTTTCTAGTCTATTGGTACTTGTTCTTCGTCCCAAATCTTACTGAAGATGATGTGGAGTATCTTGGCAGTTGCTGCTACATTTGCTTTCAGTGCCTTTGCCGGAATGTTGTCTGGTCCCGTTGCTTTGCCGCTCTCGATTTCTCTGATGGCCATGCTGATCTCTTCAATTGTTGGTGGGTCAATATGGATTGGGAGGTCTGTGGGTGCTGCTTCGATGTTGGGTGGGTTCAGTGGAGCTGGTCGATTCAAGATTTCTTTTTAGTGTTCTACCCACCTGTTTCGTTGTTCTTCAATGTCGGTGATTACTTTGCCTTCCTTGCTTTTCACTGGTCTTTCTGGCTTACGGTAATTTCCAGCAAGTTTCTTTGTTGTATCATACAGTTGTCTCATGTTTCCCTCTCTTGCAGCCTTTTCCGGTGTCATTGCTTAATCTTCCACATATTTACGTTTGTCGGTTCTGGTACTCCTCTTCACTTGCTTGTTTGCCTCTGTGTATTCGGCTTGTGCCTTGGTTTTTTCTGCTCTTGTTCGGCTGATATTGATTGCTGCCTTCTTGTTCCTCCTTTGTTCAATTTCATTCAGTGTACCAACAGTGATCCATTCCTTGTGATGGTGCTTCTTTTGGCCCAGGACCTCAAGTCATGTTGAAACGATTGCCTCTTTGATACCTTTCCAGTTGCTCTCCATGGTAGTCCCCTCTCCATTGAGTAAATTAAGAAAGGCCTGGAACCTGTTGCTGAGGGCTATGTTGAATTTGTTGAGTTTGTCAGCATCTTGAAGAAAGGCCGTATTATTCTTTTGTGATATTGTCCGCACCGTTGTCCAGTGCTTCTTGAGTTTTAGTTTCATCTTGGCGACCAGCAAATGGTGATCGGATGCTATATCAGCTCCTCTTCTGGTTCTCACATCCTCCATCGTCCTCCTGAACTTTTTGTTGATGCGGATATGGTTGATTTGATTCTGTGTAGTGTGATACAGTGAAATCTATGTGGCTTTGTGTATGCTTTTGTGAGGGAATATGGTGCCACCTATGACCAGTTTATTGAAGGCATATAGGTTTGCAAATCTCTCACCATTTTCGTTCCTTTCTCCCAATCCATGTTGTCCCATGACGTCTTCGTATCCAGTGTTGTCCTTTCCAACCTTGGCATTGAGATCTCCCATCAGAATGGTCAGGACCGTTGCTGGGCACTTCTCGAAGATCGACTGCAGCCTGTCGTAGAATTGGTCTTTAGTGTCTTCATCGTAGTCGTTGGTAGGCGCATAGCATTGAATGACGTTCATTGTAATGCCCTCTCTCTTTGTTTTGAAGGAGGCTTTGATGATCCTTGGTCCATGAGATTCACATCCAATAAGTGCATTTTGTGCTTTTCTGGACAGCATCAATGCAACTCCTTGTGAATGTGGAGCATTTTTTTCTTCATGACCGGAATATAACAGAAGTTCTCCTGAAGACAGTCGTTGTTGTCCAACCTGCGTCCAATGTGTTTCACTGATTTCAAGCACCTCCAGGTTGTATTTTCTCATTTCTGCAGTAATTTGGAAGACTCTTCCGGTCTCCCACATTGTCCGGACATTCCATGTACCTATAAAAATTGTTGCTCTGGTTGTAAGATGGTGCATCGGCCTCATGACTTCCGAATGAACTCGGCTTTCATCATGAGACGTCATAATTATTCCTTCTACTCCCAGGGCAGAGTTTAAATGGTTTGAATGAGTTTTTCTGGTTTGCGTTTTTTTAGCGAGTTGATTTTCTACGGGATGGGGTCGCTAACCCCATGCCCAACCCTCCTCCTTTACCCGGGCTTGGGACCGGCAGCAACCCCCAGAGGAGCTACAGGCGGAGTTAATTGTAGAACCCTGATGAGAAATTATTGGAAAGAATATTCTTCGTTCATATAATCGTGTTTTAATATGGTTGTAATTTTTAAGCGATTATAATCTTAAATGTTTAATTTTATGTAAAAGAAAGCGATTTGTTAGTTAAATTTTCCTGTTGCGGTCTGTATTTGATATTATCCCTAATCTTCATGTATTGTTTGTCCTGTCACTCGATAACGTCCTAACGGTGTATTGATCAGAAGACGAATACGAAGGGTTGATTGCGTTTATTATTGGAACGCACACAGATATCCACAATCACAGGCACCTTAAGCAAGCATGAAAGAGTAGTGCTGAAAGCAGGCGAGTGAGCGTAAGAGTCGAATGAGCGAGAGATCAATTGATCGAGTCAGCGAGTAAGCGAGTACAGTACAGTGATCAGGATTAAGATGTACAAATACTTGTAAATGGAAAAGCATGAATCATTGAATCAATTAAGTGATTAATAGTAAGGCTAGCATAATGAATACATGAGTAGGCAATAAGCAATGCTCAAGCATACATAATAAAGGTACAATATAAATATAAATAGGTTGTTGTTGCACGAATGA